CTGTAAAAAATATCAGCTTTCTTGTCTGGCATGGCCACCAGATTACCGTTTGTGTCTTGCAGGGGCCCTACATTGCCTGGGGCCCTCTTCTTGCTCCCAATGTACTTGAAAAAGGACTTTTTGTTGTCCTTAATCCTGGACGCTAGTCTGAGCTCCATCTCTGCCTTGGCCTTCCTAATAGCCCTCCTACACTCCTGGGCCGAGGAGGAGTACTCCTCCTTGGTGATAGTTCCTCCCTTCCATTGGTTGTACACCTCCCTTTTGGTCATCAGGCACTGCTGAATGCCCTTGCTGAGCCAAGGGGGTTTCTGAGCACTCTTACCCACCTTGCTTCTCTCAGGAACTGTTATCCTTTGGGCCTGGAGGATCGCCCCCCCTTAAGGTACGACCATCCTCGTGGACTCCCATCTCCTCTACCTTCTGGGCCCTTAGTGCCTCCCCCATTAGTCTCCTAAACTCATTGAAGTTGGCCGTTCTGAAGTCAAGAGCTTTAGCCTTGGTGTGAGCCCTAGATGCCCTGCGTTGGATAATGAAATCCAGCAGGTGATGATCGCTATTGCCCAGGTGGTCAAGGACCTGCAGTCCCCTCACCAGGTCATCCCCCATGGCCAGGACCAGGTCCAGCAAGGTATTACCCCTAGTGGGGCTGTGTACTTCCTGGATAAGGTAAACCTAAATTATATCTTTCTTCTCCTCTTACCTATGAGGGGTGCATGTATCTGCATAGACTTTTGTCCCATTCTTCCAGCCCACTTTCAACCTGTACCTTACATACGACCTGTGCAGAGCCCCTACTGCACCCGAATCACCACAGCTGCTATTCCAGGAGGCTCCTAACACCCCAGGTAAGGCTGCTGGGACCAACCCAAGTGCTGGCCCCAGCCTCCCCTATCCCACCCGGGGCAATTTGCCATGGGCCACAGCGTGTATGCAGGGGCATGCCCATAGACAACTAGCAACGAGACAAATATGTGCTGCTACTATTTGTTCCCAGGGGAACTACATGCTCATGGAGATGTGCCCAAGGACTCCATCCTTTTAACCAATTGGCAAATTTATCATTGAAGTAAATGGAATCACTACTGTGCCTGCTTCCACAAAAGCCAATGAAAATTTCTTAAATTCTCACTGACTTCCACAGGAGGCAGGATTTGGCCACAATTATAAAAATACAAGTTTTATAAAATGCTCCAGCTTTCCCCAGATGGGCTAGCTGTTATCATAAGACTTCTGCTTTTATCACTTGCTTCCTACAAAAACCAGGAAGATCCTGGCAAGCCACAGAAACAATTTTATATTAAACTACCATAAAAAAGCATGTAGCCATACACAGACACTTGTGCACTCTCTTTCCCATTGCTAATGCTGGGTTCACGCCTCTTGGACTTGACTGGCTGTTGCAGAGCAGGGAGCGCCCACTGCCAGCACTATGTCCTAAGAGCTGTGGTTGTACGCAGATGGCATTCACCACCAGGGATTCTACTGAAACACGGAGCTCCCATTTGCAGCAGAGGATCCCTAAGGAACCCTACTCATACAGGCTGTATAGCAGATACACTCTCTTAGTGCATCTACATGCATCCCTGGATGGTTTCACTTCGCCTCTTCATAGGAAACTAGCACCTATTTTGTGAATGGTGCTGGCCATCTACAGAGCCACATCACAACAAGGTTTGCAGAGTCATAACAGTCCCTTTGGGAAAGCTTCTGTCACCTGAGGCTTATGTTCATCCTCTGGTGTAGCCTAGGACTGACTCGAGCCCTTGGCACTGAGATTTCTAAGAAAACAGTCATCAGACATTTGTTCTATCTAATATATTCTACACCAGCCTTCAAAAACAAAAGTAAAAGCAACTCCCACCACAGACAATCATGAGGAAGATGCTTATGTATTATTATTATTATTATTATCATCATCATCTCTGCATACTTCTACATATGTAGTTACAAATCCTGTTGCTCTTTAATTTTAATTGCATGTGTGCTACAGAGAGAGCAATATATACCATAAGGAGCTACAGAAAGGACAAAATCTTCCAGAATGATTAGGTGCAATGTCTTTGCTATCTAAGCCTTTCCAGCTCATTAATATTTCATTTTTATATATGCCTTAACTGTTTTTTGCAACATGCTCCTATTTCCCCCTTTTAAGTACAAGCAAGTGAGACTGTTTGATGTAACTAGTAAACCTTCCTTGTCTTTCCCCTCCTATGCCTCTTGAGGGTTTTAAACACTTCAAGTGCAATATATACTAGAAAAAAAAACATGTCTCACATTGAATCCATCTAAAAAGATTTTTTTCAAGTTTCCCTTCTAGTCACATTCATCTGTGAAAGAGCGTAAAAAGAAGTCATGAAAATAAGCAGTACTATACATACTTCCTGAGCTGCAGTTCTCACTGAAGCTGAAGGGAGAGACTGCTATGACAGTGTTTCCCAACTAGTGTGCTGTCAAAAATGAACAGGTGTGCCGCTGAATTTTGCCATGGCAACGAGGTACAGTAGGTATAAGGATGGGGAATGCCTTAACAGGTGTGCCGCGGAACATTTTTATTAATATAAGTGTGCCTTGGGCTGGAAAAGGTTGGGAAATACTGTGCTATAATACTGCTCAGAAGCTTCCCCTCTCCATGGGAAAGAAACTCAGCGAAACAACTCTCAACAACTTTCCTTTCCTTCAAGGAAAGGCAGAATGCGGAGAACACCTCATTCAGTTGAGAAAATGAAAATAGGACATACTAAAGAAACACGTGAGATTTTCACAACCCCCTCCCATGCTAAGAAACATCCCAGTCTTTTGTACTCTTCAATGCAGATCATGTGTTTTAGAAGAACAACAGGTAGCAAACATCCTTGAGCTAACAACTCAAACTTGAACCCCCTACAAACAACACATTCAATACAACCACATCCAACTCATTTCTACTCCAAAGACATCATTTCTTCCTGCAATCCCCACAAGTTAAAGGCATCTTCCAAGAAGGTCATGTGAAAGATGACAAACTTAGGTCCCAATTCTCCTTACACTCGCACCCCAGTGTGATTCAGGAAAAATTTCACAGGCATGAATAGGAGGTTTTGATCAGAGGAGGAAAAGCAGCCTGCCCTCTGCATTTCCCAGGGTGTGCTGCCTACTCCAGGTTTGTCTTGTAGCTGTTTGACTAGTTCAGGGCAAAGCTCCAGGTCCCACGTGAGACAGAATGGGCTCTCAGCACAAAATAAATCATTCACAGGAGTGTCACCGGTGGCTTGCTTTTCCTCCACCACCATCCACAAAGGCCACGTGTCCTCAACCACTGTGCCCTTGCCCACACCCAGCTGCTGCAGGGAGAGGAAAGCCACCAGGCAGTGTGCGTGCCCAGGGCACGTGGTTTTAATGGAGGGCCCAGGGCTCCTCCACTTTGCAAGCTGCCTCCGCTGCCTGCCAGCATCCAAGCGCTCCCCTGAAGTGCTGCGACTGCGAGCTGCCAGCACAGCCAGCCTCCTCTCGGCAATGCCACCCAGCAGCCCCCTGCCGCCAGAGCCTAGGGAGCAACACAGCCCCCCACCCTGGCACAGGCACCCCGGATTCTCCTGCTGCCGCTGGAGCAGCAACACAGGGGTTGCCCACCTCCTCCCTCCTCCTTTCCCAATCAGCTGCCAAAGCTGCCTTGCTTCCCCAGCCCCGGATCTACCTGCAGGACGCAAAGCAGAAAGGAGCAATCTCATGCTAGCACCACTCCCCCTGCATGCCCCCCCGCCCTGGGGGAGTGCAGGGTGCCCCATCCCGTGCAGCTCCCCCTCCCCAAACCAGCAAGAGGGGCGGGACGCCAGGCAGGTCCCCCCTGCCCCACCCCAGCATGTCAGGAGCCCAACAGCAGCAAGGCCCGGCTGGCTGCCCCCCGCCCGTGACACCCCTGTCACCTGCCGGGTGCCCGCAGGGAGGGAGAGGGGCATGGAGGGGGATCGGCTACCTGGCTGGACTGCGGCTCTGCGGGCTCCTCCAGCGCACTCAGCGCTCGCTTTCTGTTTTGGATGGGGGGGGCTCTTCCTTGCCCGCCGCCGCCGCCTCTGCGGGCTGGGCCGGCTGCCTTCCACGCACGCCCCCTTGATCCGGGGCTAATAATCCTCCTGGAGCCAGCACAGCTCCTCTGCCAGAGCCGCCTCTTCCCAGGCAGTCATGTTGCCCTGTGTATGCAGCCGGCTGTTTGCCGGAGAGGGGAGGGCTGGGGGCGGCGCTTGCAAGTGGCCGTGTTGCCACCTCACGGGAAGGCAGCGCCTCGCCTCCGCGCGAGCTGCCGAGGGAGGGAGGGGCGCGCGGGCGGCGCAGGGAGGAGAGCCGGCGGCCACAGCCTACGACTCAAGACGTGGTATTGGCGCCAAGGGCTTGGGAAGCCTCACCTCCCTGGGCTCTGAGTGAGCACAGAGGGAGCAACATTTTCTCAAGCCTCCTTGTTGTTTTTTTGCAGAAATCTAGTTGGTCTAATAACGGTTATCACCTCTACCACCAGTCCCGATTCCCAAGCTCCCCTGGCATCCTAGAAAATGACCTCAAGCGGTCATCTAGCACAACCCCCAGCTCCAAACAGGACCAGCCCCAGCTACATCATCCCAGCTAAGGCTTTAGCACAGGAGCAAGCACACAGCTGGGAAAGAATCTCATCCAGGGACTCATTTTCGCTTCTTCGCAGTCACCATCTGCTTGAGCACTTCCACCCCACCCCCTGTACTGTAGGATTGTGGACTCCTTCCTCTTCCCCCACCTTCTCTTTATTTTAGGTATTGATGTGCCTGGCTATTTGCTTTCCAGTTTCTGGAGTGCACCTATCACAATCCAACCACAACTGCTTGTCACTGGAAACATAAAAGCAGAAAACAGCAGTTCCCCTTCTTAAAAACAGGTTCCAATGTCAAGGCAAGGTTTTGCTCTTTGTGATACCAGTGTCAATGCAGGACTGACTCCACAGGAGAGGAGGCGAGTCAGTCCAGTTAGTCCAGATTTACACCCAGGCGACTGAGATCAGAATATAACTGCAACACCAAAAACACAAAGGAAGTGAAAATGAGGAAATGGCATTGTTTTGTGCAGTTAGCACTCCAAACTGCAAGGGAGACTTACTGTTTGCAAACTTTGTTCCTTACCAACATACACCCAGTACCATTCCAGCAGCCTTTACTCTTGTGAGTTGTGTTTATTGGTACAAGTAGTCCCCTCCGTTTCAGTAGCACAAGTTGCACAACTCACATGACTCGCATGAGTATTGATGATGCACATGAGACATGTGCCCTATAGTCCTGATTTTACTATAAATAAGCAAAGGCATAATGTTAGGCTCGTAAGTAGCCCCATTGGCTTAACTAATAGTGTGCAACAGGCAAGGATTTTTGTGGGTGATATCTTTTGCTGGACAAACTGCATGGTTGGAATAGACTTAGACAAGCTTTTGAATGCAATGCATTCTTAACATTATACACATACTTAAGTGTGTTACTGAAACAGAGGCAAAATCTTTGACTCTGAAAACAAGTGATTTACCTTCAGATCTATGCAGGCCTACTCACACACTAAAGTCAATGGAATAACTTTTGACATCCAAGCAGCCAGGATTTTACCTCATGATGTATTGTTGTAAAACATTCAACACTGATAAAACATTTTTTGAAAAGCAGTTGGGTCAATTCCTGTTGCACTTACATAGGCAGAATCCACTTCACGGCAGTGGGAGTTTGTCTAGGAAAAGACTGCAAGATGTGGTGCGCAATTATCTGGAAATGTAGGTGTTGCAAATTTATGGAGAATAAAAAAACTAGGTACTACTTACGAAATGCTTTCTAAATAGATGTCATGCTTATTGCCCAGGACTCTAGTCTAAAAGGTATAATTGATGTAACCTGACATAACCCATATGTAATTCTGCTGTGTTGCTCTGTTCCCCTTCCCTGCTGGTATTGAATAATAAATCAGGAACAGATAACATATTCTGCAGCAAATGATACAAGAAAGGTTAGAGTACATTGTGCAAGATGCTTATTGACAGGACTAGGAATACAAGGCTAGAAGCAGAAATATTTTAGTAATCCTTCCTCCTGGGATAATGTTTCCTGGGAAAAAACTGTTCAACTTTAACTTACATTACTTAACATTTTGCAGATTGCAAACAAGGATATATAGTATCCAAATACTTGGAGTCGGAATCAGTTTCAAGTTCAGCAAAGTACTTAAACATGCTTAGTTTTGAGCACGTGATTAGTACCATTGGAGACAAGAGGATTATTCACAAGCTTGACCTTAGGTACATGCTTAAGTAATCTGCTAAACTGAAATGGATGTAAGCACATGTTTGAAGTTGAAAGCACAGGCATAAATGCTCTGCTGAAACAGGTTCCAATTAAGGGCCATAAGTTCTTCCCCCACACCACTTCCTTTTTCTCATTCTTCCTTACATTTAAGTGAAGGGTTCTTAAAGCCTCTCGATGGTTAGCTGTAACTCTGCAACACATCACTGCTGCCATGCCATTTGTCTGCTGCCCTGAAAGAGGAGCACCTGCAGTGAAGGAACACTCAAAGCATTCTTGCTCCTGATGCTCCCAGTCACAGGCTCTGCTTCAGTATGGCGATATTGGCAGCAGCTAGAGGTTGAACAAAATAATAGCAGCTTTACAAACTATTAATCATATTCTAAGTGAATGCAAGAACCCCCAGCCATAACATGATTAAAGTAGGTATGCTGACTGAAAACCAACTAGGGAGCACAATGATTATCTACCCTGCCAAAGCGTTGTTCCTCAAGCTGCTGATGTCCCTATGGATACCATAGTAGGCAATTTCAGACTGATAGAAAATTAATTTGATCAGCAGCATCTGACAAGGCCAAGAATGCACCCTTGTACCTTTGCATGCTCCTGAATAAAATCTGACCCTTCTTCAGCTCCTTTCTAATTCAGAGGGTTGCAGAGAACTCTGGTAAGTGGGATAGAGGACAAGTTGCCATTGAATCATTTTTTATTGGTTAAGGTCTAAGACCAGGAGAGGAATTCACAAAGTGAACTCCATGTCACCTTGCCTCTCTGGGTTTATCCAGCTATGAAGGCTTGCAACTCAAGGATTCTCTATCCTGAAATAATAGCCACCAAAAAAGACCATCGCGAAACAGCACTGTTCCGATTCAACTTCCATTTCAATGATTCAACGCAACAGTTTTTCATTTAGAGTTTTGTTTCATTTCGAAAGCACAGTTCCGTTTCGTCAAAACTGTTTTGCTGTTTCGGCCATAGGTTATTATGGGGAAATGTAAAATGCAGCAGACAGGCAGATCTGAGGCTTGCCCGCACCCCCGGAAGGGCTGCGGGGGCTGTGCCGGAGTCCTCCCGGGGGTGCAGGCAAGCCCCCAATCTGCCTGCTGGATGAGAGGAGCGGGTGCTGCTGCCTGGGACCGGTGGCAGCACCGATCTTCCTGGTGCTGGTCCCAAGTGGCAGCACCCGGCTTCTGTCATCTGGCAGGCAGATCGGGGCTTGCCTGCACCCCCAGGAGGGCTGTGGGAGCTGTGCCGGAGTCCTCCCGGGGGTGCAGGCAAGCCCCGATCTGCCTGCCAGATGACAGAAGCTGGCTGCTGCCGCCTGGGGCCAGTGGCAGCACCAATCTTCCCGGAGCCAGTCCCCACCCCCTGTCATTCAGCAGGCAGATCAGGGTCACACACCACCAGGAAGACTCTGGCACAGCCCCTGTAGCCCTCTAGGGGGTGCTGGCAGGCTCCCAATCTGCCTGTCAGCTGACAGGAGCTGGGTGCTGCTGCCTGGAGCCAGCGGCAGCCAGGGCCATCCCTGGAGGGGTGAACTGGGGCAACACCCCAGGCCCTACGCTTTGAGGGACCCTGTGGAGCTGGGCAAAGTGACTGTGGTGACTCAACACCACCGCCGCTGCCGGCTTTGCATCTGGCCACTCGCTACCCTGGCCAAGGGTGCAGGACCTTGGGCAAATCAATTCATGAGGGGACCTGCCCCTGCCCCTGCCCCGATCCTGTGCACCCTGGATGCAAAGAAGCCACCGCCACTGTCAGCGGGGCAGTGGGGGAGGGGGCAATGAGCAGCCAGATGCAAAACCAGCAGCAGCGATGCAGAGTCACCATGGCCACACCACCTGGCTCCACACAGCCTCCCAAAGTGTGGGGCCCAGGGCGGTTGCCCTGATTCACACTTCCCGGGGACGGACCTAGCTGCTGCTGGCCCCAGGCAGCAGCACCTGGCTCCTGTTATCCAACAGGCAAATCGGGGGTCCACCGGCACCCCCAGGAGCGCTGTGGGGGCTATGCCATAGTCCTCCTGGTGGTGCATGCTCCCAATCTGCCTGCCAGGTGACAGGAGCTGGGTGCTGCCACCTGGGGCCAGTGGCAGCACTGATCTTCCTGGCATTGGGTGTGGGCTGTGCTCAGCACCGTTCTGTCATTGGGCAGGCAGATCAGGGGCCTGCACCCCCAAGAAGATTCTGGCACAGCCCCCATCGCCCTCCCGGGGGTGCGGGCAAGCTCCTGATCTGCCTGCCAGATGACAGGAGGTGGGTGCTGCCAGCTGGGACCAGAGCTGAAACCAGTAAGCCTGGCTTTGAAACTTGAAACTTTTCAAAATTTTTGAAATGTTTCGAGTTTCCTTGTTTTGTTTCGAAGCTGTTTTGAAGGCTTTTGTTTCATTTCAATTTCACTGTTTCGAGGTCAAAACGCATCGAAACAGCTTCAAAATAAAACGCTGGGTGAAATTTCGCACAGTCCTAGTACCAAGCATTTGGTAACAGGCTTGGAGGGTGACTGCAATTTTCAGCAAGAGGTGGTGGAAGTCTCATGAGGGAGTTGGTTCTTTAGCCAGAGGGTAAGTATGAAGGGCAATTTCAGTATACTGAATAGGGAAAGATAGAATCTGACTGTATTGGTGGGCAACATTCCAGTATTGTTACTAAGTGAGCCCTGAGAAGATTAAATGCCAGTCCCACCAGCTTAAGGAACAACATATATAGTTCAGAATCTTCAGCAGCACTGCTTTCACAAGGTCCATCTTGCTTTGGGCTGTCCACATGTAAAAATGGTGAGGAAATGGAATATTCCCTGCATTGTATAAGAATTTTGTGAAATTTTAAGATGTCATCTCTGTCAGTATTATTTAACCAGACAACATCTAAACTATACACTTCAACAGCAACAGGTCTGAGTGCAGATTCTGACTTGGCTCTGTAACTTCATGTCAGGGCAGGATGTCAAAATAT